TTAGAAATATGGTCTTTCACTGTATATTTCTCGGGAAAAAGGCGATCATTATTACATCCAAACACGGCACAAGCATTATTCGAGCATTTTAGTGGCATTTTCCCTGGAAAATTTATTTTTTATCCTCTGGGAACTAAGCACTGCGAAAAAATGTAAATAAATAAATAAACATATTTTGTCCAGCATAGCTGTCCGTTGTCACGCCGTGTAAAACCAATAATAAAAAGAAAAAAAGTGGTACTTTACTTTCAGACAAGGGGCATTTATGGTAAGTATCCATCGATAAAGGAAAATATGAATAAAATAAGGAAATATTGATAAGTCTTTAGCGGTGGCCTATTGGCTATTGGTCTAGTGACATGATTCTCGCTTAGGGTGCGAGAGGTCCTGGGTTCGACTTCCAGACAGGCCCTAAAAAACAGTATCTAATTTAATGCCTACGTGACTTTTTTTTTGGCTTATCATTTTTACACAAATTATGTCCTAAATTTGCAAACCGCTGAATTTTTCGCATTGGGTCTTTGAGTTTTTGGTGAAACTCTGTTCAACGCAAGGTACTAATGCCCGCTATATGTAGCCGAGAGATTTTCACCTTAAAATGCCGGCAAGAGCAGAATTTCGACTCAGACCCCAAAGAGACGTGGCACTATAACCACGTGACATTTACTCCAATGGCCAAAAATTTTATGCTCTATTGTAGATTGATCTATACGTTATCCATGCTATATGTTAGACTTACGATCAAAGTAAACGTGGGGATAAAAGACAGCTTCAAAGTAGGATGGTACCCCCACAAAATAACTGGGTCGAGTCACCTTTATTGCAAACTAGGAAATAGGAAATTTGCATATGGTCACCTATATTTAGTACAAATCAACGCCGACCCTGGAGCTAAGTATTTTCTCTTGTTATAGCGTAACTGATCCAACAAACCTTTTCCTAATCACGTGTACTTTTTACGTTTATTTTTTCCTAAGCGCGTTGTTGATTTTATCATCATAGCGCGAACAGAGAAGTCGAGGACTCATAGACTTTATTCAACAAGCCTGCCAAGTAGGTCATCTATCAAACAGATGGTTCTCGTAATTTTAAAAGCAATTTCTTAAGATCTCTTAATAACTTCCTTTTCAGCTGGTATTTCGATGGTATTGTTCCCGGGGCAAGGTTGTGCGCCAAATAATTAAAGCAAGCAATTGATTAAGAGAAATTAAGGTCTGTAACCTGACAAAATGTTATCGAAACAATTCTAAGAATACGTCGGCGTCTGACATGTAATGTCCTAAAATGTTCTGATATTGGTATAGGATTTAATGGAGCCGAAACCAATTGTGGAATTGCACACATTTTAGACATCCTACTGATGAACAGTTACGACAAATACACATTATTTCTAGCAACTACTATAATTTGCAGTCTGTCCACTTTGAATATAATCTTCACTTTGAATAGACACAGTTGACTCTCGAGAACTCGAACCTCCCACTAACTCGAAGTAATTCTTACTTCCCTTCTGGACATTTCTACATCATTTACCCTCGATGACTCGAACTATTTTAGTAGTGGTAGATGGTCAGAATTAACCCCCGTTGGTGGATAGGTAGGGATACTTTAGGGATAATCCGGCTATGACGTCACCCATTGTCATAGCCTAGGGAAAAAATGCCTTCCTCCATACTATAAATAACTGTCTTCCTGCATATTAATTCGGTATAGCTTTACTGATGAGCGAATACTACAATAGGAACAATAGGCTTGCCTAGGCTTGCCCGTTAAGTACCTTGAGCCGGGTTTGAACGTCTCTTAAAAGGCAAAAATAGGAATAAGAGAAGCGATCACCTAGCAACGCGAGAAACGGCTTACTATATCTTATTTAGCGCTAAAACTCGGATATAAATAAACAAAACACATACACAAAGTAGAACTGAAAGCTCTCTATTTCAATTTGTCTAACGTTTTCTCCTATTTATCTCGAGGAAATGAAAAACTATTACAGTCTCAGCGTTTCACGCACCGTTAGTCAGTTAATTATGCGAGTTTGCAAGCCCAAAATTGAATACAAATTAGCTCTACAGGAAAGACCCAAGGGAACACCTTGACGTATTATTATATAAACAATTTTAAATAACTTAATAAGGATCAATTAAAACACGCGACTTATAATTGCTAGCAATAAAACCACAAGAGAGATACCGTTTTAAAAACTTTATTAAAACCAGGCAATGACAAAAAGAGTCAAATACACAGCGATTTGTAAGGAATGGAAATTACTTAATCTTCATCTTCGTTCTCCCCTTTAGAAGAGGAATAGAAATTGGTTTCCAACGTCTTCGCGTTTTTGTGTGTAACTGCCCCACAATCGTGACGATGAAAGGCTAAACGATACTTTCAGTTGCAAAACAAATACCTGGCTTTTAAAGAGCACTTAAAAAGAAGAACAAGACCGGAAGAAGTAATCAGCACTGTTCCAGACTTAACAGCGAGGACACAAGATTCTTTGACGGCAACGAAGCATTCTCCACTCCCCTCAACCCCTTTTAATGTAACACCTGAATTAACACAAGCGGCTGTCTCTCAAAAACCTGACAAAGAAAGCCTCACCCCTCCACCACCCTTAAATCCTGCTTTCCGGACCCCTCCTCCCACAGTACAAACCCCATCACAACAAAGCCCGAAGCGCAAAAGGCGTCGGATTCAATGTGTAAATTATCTGAATGATCATAAAGCTCATGCCAAACAGCTGAGGAAACGTCGGCATAAGAAATTCAAACCTTACAAGTACCCCATGGGCGAAGAAGATGAAGATTAATTAATTTCCATTCCTTACAAATCGCTGTGTATTTGACTCTTTTTGTCATTGTTTTTAATATAGTTTTAAAAACGGTATCTCTCTTGTGGTTTTATTGCTAGCAATTATTAGTCGCGCGTTTTAATTGATCCTTGTTAAGTTATTTAAAATTGTTTATATAATAATACGTCAAGGTGTTCCCTTGGGTCTTTCCTGTAGAGCTAATTTGTATTCAATTTTGGGCTTGCAAACTCGCATAATTAACTGACTAAGGGTGCGTGAAACGCTGAGACTGTAATAGTTTTCATTTCCTCGAGACAGATAGGAGAAAACGTCAGACAAAATTGAAATAGATCGAGAGTTTTCAGTTCTACTTTGTGTATGTGTTTTGTTTATATATATATCCGAGTTTTAGCGCTAAATAAGATACAGTAAGCCGTTTCTCGCGTTGCTTGGTGATCGCTTCTCTTATTTGTATTTTTGCCTTTTAAGAGACGTTCAAACCCGGCTCAAGTTACTTAACGGGCAAGCCTAGGCAAGCCTATTGTTCCTATTGTAGTATTCGCTCATGAGTAAACCTATAGCGAATTAGTATGCAGGAAGACAGTTATTTATAGTATGGAGGAAGGCATTTTTTCCCCAGGTTAGGACAATGGGTGACGTCATAGACTATCCCTAAACTATCTTTACCTATCCACCAAAGGGGTTAATTCTGACCCTCTACCACTACTTATGTTTTAAGTGCCACTTGTAAACCAACTTTACTTCATCCAAGTGATATGACAAGGGTGTTTTGTCATGGAATTTGAAGAGTTCCTCTTAAAAAAAGATATGCATTTAAAAATGCAAAAAAATCAAAACTTTGTTCACGAATTTGTGACGTTCTCACGATGCACGTTTTCAGAAAAAAATGATTACATAATAAATAAAAAACCTCTCAGTTTTGAGATGAGTTCTCTCTAATTGAACATGTTGACTTAGGAGGTAAATTGACTGAAAACATATGACGTTTGCCCGACTAAAACTACCGTCTACCAGACATGGTAATATATTGCAACTCGTAACTAATTTATAAATTTTATTGATTGGAGTCTAGCGAAACATTTGTTAATATCATTGTACACCTGTCAAGTTACTTTATGTTTGTTACCACACGTTTCTGATAGGTGTGTTAAATAAACAAACGCAATTTATACAACATAAAAACCTTGTGTGTCATAGCGAAAAAGAACACTTTTTGTGACGCAGTCAAAGTAAGGCACCTTATCTCTACATTACAGCAAGAAGAATGGTGAACTTGACGGAAGGCGGAAACGTCACTGTGATGGAGACACTGCTTTCTGCAAACATACGTGTAGGTTTCTACATTGCGATAGCAGCTGTAAATATTGTTTTCTCCATCACGGCATCTCTGGGCAACATTCTGATCCTGATTGCTCTTCGCAATGTGACTTCTATTCATCCGCCGACAAAACTGTTGTTTCAATGCTTGGCCATCACTGATCTTGGAGTTGGTCTCATTTCCCAGCCGCTCATGGCCACCCTGATGCTCCTGGTTGATAATATTGACATCAAAATTTTGAATATCATGTCGTCCCATCTATTCTCGTCTTTATCCGTTGCTTTTTGTGGAGTATCGGTTTTCGCATCAACTGCCCTGAGTGTGGACAGACTTCTCGCCCTGTTGTTGGGGTTGAGGTACAGACACGTTGTAACACTGAAGGGAGTTCGAGCAGTTCTTGCCTGTGGTTGTTTAACCACTTTATCGACTGTGTTGGTTTGGAATTTTAGGGTAAAAACTGACACTATTATAATTACAATTTTCTTGGCACTTTGTCTCATTATCGCGCTGTTCTCGTACACGAAGATCGTCCTTAGACTTCGGCAACATCAGTCCAGCGTACGAGACAATGTCCAGCAAGGACAAGCGAACACAGAAGGAATTCCATTGAACTTAGAACGATATAGGAGGACTGTTGTAAGCATAGCTTTGGTGCAACTGGCATTATTCATATGCTATTTTCCATTTCTTATTTTCCGTATCGTGACTCATCTGAAGGATATTCACCCTGGCCTATATTTACTTTGGTATTCTCATACTACCACTCTCGTTTTCCTTAACTCGTCTTTAAACCCGGGTCTGTACTGCTGGAGGATCAAAGAAATACGACAAGCAGTGAAAGGCACAATCAGAAGGTTTTGCGCCTGTTTAAGTCAAGGAACATCCACTCTATCTACGAATCAGTAAAAATATTGAATGTGTAACAGCAGCTTATTCTGTCGTGTTAATAGTAGTGTCAAAACCCAATAACTGAAGCTAATAATTTGAAAGATGGATAAAAATCAATAAAAACAATCATGCTTTAAAGGTTTATCGATATTTGACAAAAAAATGATAATAAATAAAAAGAAACTTTTAACCATGTTTTAGCTACCAGCACCATATTCCTCCTATTAAGAATTCTCCCATTTCCAAAAAAGTGGTGTTTTCCAAACTTTTGGTTTCTTTACTGCGTTAGTCTGGAATTTATGTTATTTTATTAACCCTATTCAGACCGGCACTTCTCCCACCCCCCTCCCCTTCGCTAAAAGGTTGAATACCTTCGCGTTCAAGCTATGGCCACCAAATTCAGCCACTTTTCCTTAAAATATCTGGACTGGATAACAGACTCGAAATAAGACACTCGGAGGTAAAAAAACCAATGTGTAATTGAAAGTATTGAATTCGATAACGCGTACTTAGTGGTTCTTTGCTAACCTGATTCCGAGTCGAATTGGAATTTGAAGGAGGGGGGAAAACCAAAGTACCCAAAGAAAAACCTCTGGGAGCGAAGGAGAGAACCAACAAGAAACCAAACCAACCCACACATGGCGAATCACGTGGCGTCGACGCCAGGATTTGAACACAGGCCACATCGGAGGGAGGCGGCGAGTGCTCTCACCACTGCGCCACCTTTACCTCTCCTTTAAAATGACGATGGATTTATAACCTGCCCAAAAATTAAGAAAGAAATTTTTCCAGAAAGTGGTACTTGACGATGAGATAGGTGGCATTTTGTGGTAAACATCGATCGGAAAAGGAAAATAAATCAAATAAGAATTTATCGATGTGATAAGGTTGGCCCGCGAGTGAGCGAGCGAGTGGAATGATTCTCGCTTAGGGTGCGAGAGGTCCCGGGTTCGACTCCCGGACACGCCCCAAACTATTCACCATTTTCACATAGACCACAATGCACCCTTGTTTACGCCCCCCCCCCTCCCCCAGATTTTGCTTAACGATTGTCGTTCCCTTGGGACGACTCTAATACCCAGGAGAAATTGGAAACGACAGTAATGCAAAATTTTGGAGGGTAAATTGGGTGCATTATAGTCTATGTGAAAATAGCGAATTGTGAACTTAATTTTCGGGCCTGAAACTTTTCTTGCGGCTCGGGGACTGCATTTCTCAGGCACTTTGTTTTTCGCAAGGTGGCGAGCGAGAAACGCGAGTAACACGCGAGCCACTGGTGTCGAAACGTAAGGGACCATGGGAAGGAGAAAAACGAGAGGCCCGATTTCTACTCCCCGCCTTCCATTGCGCCCAAAGTTTTATCGAGGGAGATACGTAAGGGCACGAGGCTGGCTCGGAGATTTTTTTGGTTTAAAGTGGCTAGCCTGGATTTTTAGTGGCCGGAACCTCCCATTTTTTAGCTTTAACTACGTTGCCTATACAAAGATATAGAAAATAAGAAGTCACCATGTGCAGCTTCATCCGAGAAAAAAATACTAAAATACTTTGTTATGTGCAGTACAGACTGCGAGCAGTCTCTTTATTTCTTCACATTTATTGAGGGAAGTGCCTCCTTTCCTCGGCCCCCTCGCTCGCGCGTTCTCGCGAGGCTCACTTCGCTTACCCAAATAGGAGAGCTTGCTCGCAGGCTATCAGTCACGCGCGTGGACATTTGCGTCTCTTGCGCGTTTTGCTCGACGGGCCGATGCCTGCAGTCTATGGGCAGTATTATGTTGACATCAGATTAGTCATAGCTACGAAATGGCGCTATAACCTATTTTATTTGCAGCCATATTTCCAGGCACTATTTTTTTATTAATTTCTTGTTTTTTTTCCTTTTGCTTTTTTTTTTTTTTTTCAGTGAAAAATCCTTCCTGGGAGCTTGTTCCTTGTTCATGCGGTCAACAGCTGCTTAATGTTTGTGTTGAGTTACACTAGCTGAAAATGACAAAACATTTTATGCAAATCCGTCAAATGATGGGGAGGACTTGTTGCGGAAATAAATTATTTGCAGCCATATTTCCCGGCACTATTTATTTATTAATTTCTTGTTTTGTTACCTTCTGTTTTTTTTTTCAGTCAAAAATCCTTCCTGGGAGCTTGTTCCTTGTTCATGCGGTCAACAGCTACTTAATGTTTGTGTTGAGTTACACTAGCTGAAAATGACAAAATCATTTTATGCAAATCTGTCAAATAATGGGGAGGACTTGTTGCGGAAATAATCTTTTCAGTATTTTTATCTCTAATAGTTACCAAAATAAATTAATAAATCAGCCAAAAATCTAAACATAATAGTAATAAAAAAAATCCGGCTACACGACAATAAATATAGAAGGCAGAATGATTAAGGCCGAGGGTTGTTCTTAAAATAAGTGTTTTGAAATTTGACAGTGTTGGAAAGGGTAACTAACCTTATAATGCTATTCGAAAATGGCCTGCGCAAGAAATTTCCGTTTGAACCATGCTGACTGGGAAAATACAGAACTACTTTTTTCAAAATTCTGTTGCTCCCGGAAATTTTCCAATCGGACGATTAAACTGAAGTCGTGCCCCCTAAGATGGTTTTGGATGTTTATGATCTAAAAGAGGAGAGCCGTTTTGTAGTACACATGGAAAGTGAAAGTTGGAAACACTAGCTAGTATCGAGATAATTCTTCTGCTTCTCGTGAACAAGTGCACTGGTCTGTAAATAGCTTCAGGGCGTGAAACCTTAATCAATGAGTTTTAGTGGCTTTACAGAATAGCGCGACAAATGCCCTTGTATCCACAAGGATACAAAAATGACCTCTCTTTTGCTTTTTGTAAAACCTCGGTTACTTTGCCTGATAAAGTATGATCAAGCGGTCCTAGTTCAAAACACATTCCCGAAATAAAATGTCCAAATAAGGTAATAAATCGTGGTTCACTCATGCCATACTTTCCGCAGATTATGATAATAAAAACGCGTTGACTGAGTATTGTTAACATCGACACACAAGTTCTCCTTTCTTGGATTCGATACTTTTAGCGTGTAATGGCATTGAAGTTCGAGCTTGAAAAGGCGTATATTTTAAAATAGAATCATAGTGTGGTTAATTACACCTCTAATGTCATCGCGTTTCCGGATTTATTTAAGCCTTTAATTAGTAACAAAAATAAAGTTGGTATTATTATGTTTGGCCTCATAACGTTGATATGAAATATTATTTTTTCCGGGCAAAAATATTAATAACTTGCGCAATTTTTATTTACCTCTTAAATTGTGGATGCGGGCTCATTGACTCGAAGAAATGCAAATTTTTCACTTTCTACTTGACTGACTTTTCTGTTAGCCAATGAGAAACACTTTGAGGTTTCACCGCTTATATAAACAGTTTAATCCGGTCTCAGACTATTAACACGGGCCAAGAGATCTTGGTTAGTTTCACTGTTGAAAACCACATATAATATTTTACTTTGGAACATGGCCGATGAGGATGTTTCCGCCTTGGTAGTGGATAATGGCTCGGGTATGTGCAAGGCCGGTTTCGCCGGAGACGATGCTCCTCGTGCAGTGTTTCCCTCCATCGTTGGCCGTCCAAGGCATCAGGGTGTGATGGTTGGTATGGGTCAGAAAGACTCCTACGTTGGCGACGAAGCTCAGAGCAAAAGAGGCATTCTAACCCTGAAATATCCCATCGAACACGGCATTGTAACCAACTGGGATGACATGGAGAAGGTAAAATGTGAAATAACTTGTTCATAAGAAAAAGATTTCAAAACCACAGGTCGGGAAATAACATTATGCCGCGTTTTGTGTTTTAGATCTGGCACCACACCTTCTACAACGAGCTGCGTGTAGCTCCCGAGGAACACCCAGTTTTGCTGACCGAAGCTCCTCTCAATCCAAAAGCCAATAGGGAAAAAATGACCCAGGTAAATAGACTGCCCACAAGTAGACACTGTTTATGCCACAGCGCCTTAATTACTAATTTATTATTTACTATGATTTGTGTCTGGTTACTGTTAGTTGCCCACGTAAAATATTTTTAAGGACAGATGCAATTTTCTAATGTAACTTCGGTTCCCATTTCTTAAGACAATATACGCTTTTAAAAGTTGTGTGAATAACTGTTAACGCACTGCCGAAATCATATTTTATGGATAATATTAAAGACCTTACGGTGTATGCTACGCTTCTACAGAGGATCAATTCTATGTCGTCAATTTATTTCGAAGTCTTTCGTTAGAAAGTCAGGGAAAGCAAAATTTTTGTTAGGGATGTGAACCAGTGTCTTTAATATGGTTTCCAAATTGCACAACTTAGGTGGAATTCAGAAAGAAGTTCCGCAAATTTGTCAGGCCATTAAGAGACTTAAATGTAAATTCACGCTCCACAGAAGAAAGTTCTAAAGTGGATATAAATAGTGTCAAAAGAGTTTTCTGAATTTAATTATGCCGCTGGTTATCTTTACGGAAACTATCCTTTCATTGCCATATTAGGTTAGTCTGCCTCCTGATAGGTCAGGAGGCGAATAGCGACGAAAGGAAAAACCGAGCGTATTAGATATCGCAATTATGAATAAGGAAATCAAGGAAAAATGACGTGTATATACTCTGCTGGAATTAAAACAGAGAAAAAATTGCTGTTGACGAATCAATTACAACTTGACAAACTTGTTTGCTTTCTTTGTTTAAATTCAAATAAGCTCATTCATCTTCAAAAACTTGAGGTCTTCGCGGCAATTTCTCACCCAAAAACAAACTGGGACAAATGAAACATCTTGGTTTCTTATAATTTGCATTATTACTAATTCCGGGTTAGTTGGCATTATGATATCTCATTCTGCAAAATAAAACAATTCCATGGTACTGTAGTGGATCAGTCTCTGCCTATTGCTACTATTCATTGTATGTATTATGATTGCAAATAATGATAATGACAGCTGGTGTTTGGAATATGAAGGGTATATCAGTATAGTTCTCGA